CTCAAAAAAGTTTGCTTAATTGCAGAAAATATGTGTTTCAGTAGTGATAATTCTTAAAGTTATACAATGATGTTCAGGCTTCAGGACACATGTACTTCAAAACAATGGGATCTAGGTGGTCACCATGTGGCCATGAGGGACAGGGATGCAGCCTTGCTTCCTGCTCTAAAATCTCAAAATCTTTCAGCTTCGTCTTAAAATACTGAAAAAAAATGTAAGTATTATTTTCACAAGTTGAAATTTAAGGTTTGAGACAAATATCTATATATATATATATATATATATATATCTTATTACTATCTCAATTAATGTCTTGGGTTTAAACAGATCATAATGTAATCCTTGTACATATCTAAATACTTCATTTTTTTAAATCATTTAATCATTTATCATTTTTAATGTGGGACCACACTTTAAACTAATTCGGTGGAATGCTCCACACATTGCATCTCATTGTTGCTGTCAGGACCATAGTTTTTTGTTCTTAAAAAGGAAGCTGGGTTATTTTCACATACATTAGTCATGCTATTACTTGAAGGTGTAATTCTCTTCCACAAAGGACTCACTGAAGGATCCTCCAACACACCCTGAAGGAGATATCTAGAGGAAATTTGAACTTCCTCCACTTCTCTCCACTTCTCAGCGCTTAACATGGCAGATTATCAAATATTTTTGGGTTGTGTGGCAACAAGGAATCGAGTTGTGGAGACAAACTGTACACAAATGCTGCCATGTTCTAGACTATAGAGAACTTTTTTCTGGAGACAATAATACAGTACTAGTCAAATGTTTGGAGAGAACTGACTGAAAGCATCTTAAAGAAACTGAGCTAAAGGCTTGTAGTTCCATTGAATTACACTGATTTTTTTCTAATATTCTATACAGTTCTCTCCAGCACCCCACCGCAACCCAGAAGGATAAACGGTTTAGATGATGTGTGTGTGTATACAGTTCTGTCATGGGGTTGTAAACAAAATCATTCAGAGTGGTGTCATGTGAAATGCTGCATTATAGACAATTTCATAATTAATAATTTTACAATTGATAGTTTTATAGATTTCTTTACATTGGGGGTGACAGGAACCAGGGGTCACAATGTATAAAATGCAAATCTAAAACCACCAGTGAATCTACAGGTATCCTCTTGATATGTAACGCTGATGATGGTAAAATAGTGGTAAATCTGTAAAAATAACTTTTCTTTGTCCTTATGATGCCTTGCATGAATGAATTTCGCAACTAAAAATAATGTCTGAGGCATCAGGCAGTGTATTCGTAAACACTGCATGTAATAGTTTTCTGTGATGTAGCTTTTAGGGCATTAAACGTTTCAGACGTCTGGTTCCTGTCACCACCACTGTGAATAATTCTGATTCAGTAAGCTTCTCTAAAATGGAGCATTTTACAACAAACCAATCTAAATGACTTTGTTTACATCTTGATGGTTTAATTACACAGACATTTTGGAAAATCTGAAGAATTCACTTTAGAGTAACTTAGAGATCACATGATACCATTTTTTTTCTGTTTGGATAACAGAACTGATATCGAAACCTTGAATATTGACCAACAATGGTCCAAAATGTTCCATTTAAAAAATTAAACCTTAATTAAAAACTTTACTTAAAATGAGCCTCTAAAAGGAGCTTATTACGCTCAAGCCACTTTCTACTGTTGCAGAGCTGGTGAGCCAAAAACGTTTGATTAAAGCAACAGTTTTGCAAAAAAACAAATTTACATGATTTAACAAAATCACATCACAAAATGTGAATGAGTGCTATTTCAGGGCAGATTTGTTACAGGACTGGATCCCATTCATTCTTTCATTCTCTCTGATGACCAGTATTTTCTGCTGACATCGGCCCAATAATGATACCTGTTTTCAGATCAGTGTCAACTTGTTTTTGTGTTTCTAATGCCGCTAGAAATATTGAAGGTATTATCTATAGAAGAATTTAATTCCAAAGCAAAAAAAAAATTAAATGCTCCAACTAGTTTTCACAAGCCAACGAGTTCTCAGCAAGCCCATCTTGGAAGAATCAAAAACAGAAGACAGTTTTGTCTTTACTATTATTCTAAAATTTGGAAAAGTTTTATGATTGTGTCCAAACTTTTGACAGGTACTGTATCATGTATATTTGTTCTCGGTGCATAATCACTGTGCATGATGTTCATGAGCTTGTGTGTTGTGGTATACAGCTACAGTGAAACAAGTTCACAGGGGTCAGAGAACAATGTCATCATCTCGCCATCTGTAATATCATAATGCCAGAACCCAACCGAAAAAAAGTGTACAGCGTACGGTTAGTCCTCAGGATTAGCATACATCTAATCCAAACTGTAATAAATCAAAACGATTATCTCTGGAGCCTCAACCCCGTAAGCCAGGAAAGTCAGGCCATGACATTTTGTCTACATTAAATTTTCGAGGTGAAAATCGCTGCTAAAAAAAGGGCAACGTTACAGTGGTGGCTCCTATTCTGCACAACAGGGATGTCATGCAGCATGCTGACTCAGCCACTTTAATATAACATGAATTAGAACTCTACAAATTACTTGATTAATTTATTGAAAAGAATAAAAGTGATTTTCTCAATAAATTGGCAATGATTCATTGGCAATTTGCAGAATAATAATGCATATATTTAATTCAGTGTTTTATAGGCTTTTGATTAAGTGTTTTTAAAAGTAATTTTTACACAAAAAAGTATTACGTAATCTTTGGAAAACTACATATGATTTGATATTGTTTAGTTAAATTTTTTTTGTGTTTTTCATTTTTTTTTATTCTAATTACATAATTAATAATCAGCAGACACAGTGCTGTGCATCAAAGATCACATTTCATTTATAAAATTTCTAGTCAAAAGGGCCTTTAGGTATAAGTTACTGATTTTTCTGAATCTGGGAAAAAGCAGAAAACATTTTTAATAGAAAATTACACAGAAGCCTCAACAATTCAGTTTAACACTCCATTTTTTCAGAATTTAATGTGTTCATCTTTCCCTTGTATTACAGCTTCCATTCTTTTCAGAGACTTGTTTTCAGCTTTTCAAAGAAATCTGCAGGGATATTTTTCCACACCTCCAAAGTTCAGTCTTAGTAATTGGTTGCATTTTCTGCTTTGCATGATCCAAGTAATCCCAATCACATTCAGTGGTGTTGAGGTCTGGACTCTATTGTTCTGAGAACACCAGCAGCTTCTCTGTTTTTTGGCCTAATAAGCTTTTCTCAGTAAGGGTTTCCCAATAACTACACATCCTTTTAGACTCACAGTGGCTTGTCTTCTCACAGTGGAAGGATGGACAGAAGCACCTGTGGATTTTTTTCAGATCGGGAGCAAGAGCGGAGCTTGATGTTCTCCCCTCTCTCACAGATGCAAGCTTTAAGTACTGCCTATCTGATGGGGACAGTTTAGGTGGTCCACCAGGTCATGCACAGTTGTTGAGAGCCCCTTTGTATCTATATCTTGTAAAAAATGTTTGATCTCCAGCTTTGAAAACTTTTCAGTTTTTTCCACTTACTGTCCTTTGACTTTGTCCTTCCTTCTGCAAGTGGATTATCTTCTATTTTATCTCCACAAAAATATCTCCTGAAAATGCATAACTTGTACTTAATGGTGGTTTTGACTGGATATTAAACAAATGAAATGTGGTCTCTGACTTTTGCACAGTACTGTAACTCAACTAATATAACTGACAGAACAGCCCAAGAACAAGAAGTTCAATTTGGCTAAACAAGTCTTTATCTGTCTGTAAAACAAATGATTTGTACACTAAACGATAGACTCGCCAGACATTTTACAGTTTGAAAACAACAGTAAATCGCTAATCACAACCAACAAAAGCAATCCCCCCAAAAATCCACTAATGTTGTCTCACTGTACTGTCCAGTCAAAGAATAGTGATAAACTAACCACTAAGCTTTGGACATATTAACCAGAGAAGAAGTCCAAGACCACAAATATTAATACCAGCATGTTTGACTCGGGTCTGATTAAATGCTTTGGAGTCTATGTTTGATTATCTCCCCATGAAGCACTGTGGGCTTCAGCTATAACCACTCTATCATTAATCACTGGTATATGAGAGTTTTTGAAGCATTGAATCTAGTGCTTTAGCTCCAGCCTGTCCTCCCCCAGTATGATGTACCAGCCAGGCAGGCACCCAGTTCAGAGGCTGTGCACTCCCCCGCTAGGCCGTGGTAAGGTATTAATAACCCTTGGCTGGGAGATTGCACTGCCTGCCTGCTCGTAACCCTGCCAGGATATTATGTCACAGCGCAACTGAGAAGGATCAACGCCTCTATCGTCTAGCAGGGTAACAGTCTGAGACCACATATGTGAACACACACACAAAAAAAGAGGAAAATCCCACTTAAATGGTACTGCTGCTTCTATTATTTACAGTGAAATAGGAAAGAGAACACCACATCCTGCCAAGCAATCATTTTACCGAGCTGAGATCAATTCAGATATAGGAATGTGAGTTTTTGGTGTATATGTTTGTTTCATGCAGGCCTTTTGTTGAAGCATGTAGACTCATACTACTTTGATCCATGTAGATCTATTTTTGTTAAAGCATATAGATCTGTAGATCTATTTTTGATCATGTAGATCTATTTTTGTTAATGTTTTGACAATTGTCTGCCATTACACATCATATAAGAACAATGGTTTATAATTGGTCAGCTCACATGTCAGTCATGGCCCTTTCCTGCCCTAGTAGGTGGATTTTGGCCACATTAAGCAATAAAAAACACACCAAATTCGTAGCATGCTGCAAAACGTAGCACGCTGCTAACTGGTGCCATTGTTTGCTAACTACTTTAACCTCATAGCTCCAGTGCAATACTTTGGAAACCCAACCTGTCTTAGCTTACTGACTACTTTTGGGGTAAAGGGAGATTGTGTAAATTAGATTTTTGGCCAAACTACCGCTTTAAGTGACACAAATATAATTTCACATTTATTTCTGCCACAAGATCAAGGGGCATGGTACCTGGCTGAAGGTGAAGGGTCTCGTTGTTGCAGAAGTCGGTGAAGCAGCAGTTGCGTTTGGAGACGTTTTTTGAGCTGTAGCAGAACACTTGGCCCTTCAGCTCACTGGCAGAGAGGCAAGACTTCACAGCCTCTTCTTTCCCATTGATCAGCATCACTGAATTCCAGCACGCTCCCTCAGCCTCCGTCTCACAGGTGTGATTCGCACAAAGCTGACACACACACTTAAGGGCTGAAAGAAAATATATGTACGCATATTAGGGAGGAGATATTCAACAATTCAGATATTCCAAAAAAGCTAGGCCTTTCTAAGTAGCTTTAAAAAGTGATCTGTCATTGCTGTGCATAATCAGAGTCAATACCTATGTTACATTTTTGAATGTTAAGAACTAAAATCACTAAAAAACTAGGGCTGTCAAACAATTAAAATACATAATTAGGATTAATCTCATTATTTTAAGTTAACTGGAATGACTTTTTCTATCTTTAAAAGCACTGCATTTTGCTATAGCTGCATATGTGGACAAAACAAGCTTCAGAATAGAGATCAGAGCATTTTGATTACTTTTAGTAATTCAATAACATTATTAACATTTCATTTCATCATGTGAACACAGCATTCACAAGAATCTGAAAATGAAAATCACATGAACGGAGGGTGAACAGAAAAATAAGGTACAAACAGTTTTCATTTGTCATCACCAACGTCCAGTGAGAGCACGTTTCAACTCCGCCGTGATTGTAGCCCTCTCACACTCACAAAACTCTGTTCTCTTTAAAGGGGAACTGAGGCTTTCCATTTTGGTTGCTTTTGTTAGTTTGTTACATGTTGATTTATCCACAGGACTCCTGCGAGCACTGCCCAGCGTAGCCTGATGAAGGTGTCCTCCCAGTGCTAACATTACTGATATTACTGATATTGCCTGCGCTAGTGGTGAGATTTGCTTGTAAATGATACTTCAGTCCTGATGTACTTCAACGATAAAAACATCACAGAGGCAGTAGTTATAACACACCATTGATATTATCATTACCAAAAACTCATTTAAAAGCTGTATTTGAATGAGAGGCCTACAGTCGTGAAGTCATAGTGCATGGTTTGAATGTTCAAACTAAGAAAATGCATTACCAGCATTACAAAAACATTAGTGGCATTAACAGTTAATACATTAATAACTGTGCCACCACTACTAAAATCATATACTCATGCAATGATATGAATTTCTACCATCCACTTATCACCAGAATGAGACATGTTTCTCTTGTTTAAAGCCATTTCTGCATGTGTTCACTCATGGTAAATATTAAAATATTTAAGCTTTTAAAGCTACGGATATTCACATAGTTCCTGTGGGTGACATGAGCAGGCCTACTAAATGTATGCTATTCTATTTATGGTATACAAATTGATGATTTCCAGCTTTTATTCTCTTTCACAGTCCTATTTACATTTTTTTTTAAAAAATGTGGAAACCTTTTATTGAATGTTCCCTCCATTTATAACTGTAAAAGAAATCATTATCCATTACTCTCCATTAAAGACAAACACTTGGGTACACGTTGTGTCCATTGATTACCATTGCAGCGGAGGGTTCTGACTAATACTACCACACTTGACCTGATTTTCCAAAAGGATTACTGAACTAAAATCATCATAAGATGTTTGTGCATCACTGACAGAGCTCTCATTACCTCTGATTTAATGCTAGTTTTGCTTTCAGAATATCAGTTGTAATTTGAGTTTTCCAATCAGTTTTCTGAGCCAAAACAAACTTTCTCTCTTACTGTTTGGGAACCTGATCTTCTTGAACTTTCAGTCCGGGCATTCCAAAATCTATCTTAAATGAACTACACTGTACACACACAGCACACTGCTGCAGACAAACCACACTTTCTTAAAAATCGCCTTTCATTGTCCTTATGTTGCACCACTACTAACAGTTAGAAATAGACAACACAAAGACAGCAATAATCCTTTTAACTTCTATTTTCTCTAGCTATCCAGTGGCCAATAGCTCCTTGAGTGGAGCTTTTTTCAGGTTACGTAACTGTGTCCATGCTCTTAGACTGAAGGGGAAAGCTGCGTAATGCTGCTTAGGCTAACACCATGCTAATCTCAAGCTGCTCTCAGTATACCTGTCCTGCTTTCGGAGGCCGTCGCCATGCTGGCCTTGCTCCCCTTTCTGAGAAGGTGTCATGTCCCAGAAGAAGAATACGGGTTTCTCTTTGATCATTCACTCAGTATTTCTCCCCACAAAAACACTGGAACATTTTGTGTATCTCTAGTTTTACATAGCTCAATTCAGACAGAAAGATAAGAGGTCAAAGGGCAGGATCAGCCACGTTAGACTAAGGCAGAATGGTGGGAAAGTGGCTTGCTCAATGTTTGAATGGCTGGAGAAAAGCATCAACAGGGTAATGGACACTACTCTGTCCAGCCAAATACAGTGGAACAGAAATCCAATTGCTACTGCTAGTTTCAATATCTGCAGGCTCACTTGAGTTCAACTGACCTATCCATGTTCCACTCAAAACATCATCTTGATTCTTCACCACTGTTGCAGGGTGGGATAAGCTGTACAGAACGTGGCCAAAAATTCCCACCAACCTAACACAACTCTGTTTTTGTCAAAACATGCAAATTGGACCACTGCAGCGTTTGATAGGATGCTGAGTGTTGAGTTTTAAATGCTACCAAGCTGCACTGTTCACTATAATAAGGTAGACTGGAAACATTTGCCACCATTCTGTAATTAGCTTGATTACATGATAAGCTTAAGAGATCACGTACAATATACCATCGTCTGATCTCGCCCCTTAGCCATCACCAAGTGACAGTACTGTCTTTAGAATTGTGTTGGAAGGAAAGCTGTTTACGTGGACATGGACAACACATTAAAAGACTGACAAATGAAGACTAAAGAAAACACACTAAAAAACAGACTATGTGAAAAATAGGATTTATTGTGTGTGTCTTAAAGCTGCAGATAGCATGTTTTCTGACATTCAAATTGTCCAACTTTACTGGCCATCATGATAGTTGGAATCTATCAGTGATTCACAATACTATCATCAATCTGCTCAAGCCTATAAAACATATCTGATCTATTCTTTTTTTGGTATTTTTCCCCAATTCTGTAGCCTATTTTGTTGGATCCAATTCTACCCGCTAGCTAGGTCTCGCCTAAAAACCCAATATTACCAGGGCTAGGAGGGTGAAGGCTAGTGCATGCGCCCCACGAGTCATGTGAATCACTCAGCACATCTTTTCGAACTGCTGCTAATGTAATGTGACTGAACAGTTCAACATGCATGGAGGAGAGCGCTAACTGCCCGTTCTGTTACATCAGACAGACAGAGGCCCATGTTGGCTACCTTCACACAGAGTGATATGGGGAGGAGCAGGACCATCCTAACGACTAATTATGCACTTTTGGACTCCTGGTCACTGATGACTGTGGCATCACCAGGAATCATACTCTGGATCTCCAGGTGATTGGGCTATGAAAGGATGTATTTGTGAGCAAAGCACGGATACATCATTCTAAGGCCCAATCCCATTTCTTCTTTTTACCCCTACCCCTTGTTTTCAAGTGTCACCCTAACCCCTTGGAACTGAGTTACAAGGGGTTGTGGTTAAAATCTTGCCATACGAAATGGGACAACCCTCAAATAATAATGATAAAAAAATGCTTCATTAATAGGCTACTAGTGGTGCTCTGTAGGTGACCCTGCCAGTCTGCAGTGACAGCAGAGAAGGGAAAAGTCCAGTAACCTCACTGCTGGGCTTTAGTTACATTTAAGGCATCATATGCTTTCAAAGAGGGGGTATAAGACAATTATTTGTTATCGCCCACCGCTAATTCTTTGGTGATACAAAGCTGAAGTCAGCTATTCACCAGCTTCTTGACTATTTAAGGTGGAATGGGAAAATTAGCTAGCTAGCTACCAAGACATCAGCTTACTATTAGCGATGTTTTATGCTTGTCATGAAGAAAACGACTATAATACACTGAAATGACATTAAACTCAGATAATACAATGGTTATCGAAATTTTGTAACAGAGAAAATACTCACATTTGTGGGTTTCTTTGGTCGCTCGTGCAGCCATCTTGCCAGTTTTTCTTTTTTTCTCATTACACTCTGTTTGGAGTGTTGCCTCTGAAAAACCTCAGTTTGGAGGGCCATGTAGCCCCAACACTTCGCCCTACCCCTCCATCTCAACAAAAATTGGGACACCCTACCCCTACACGTGAATGCGCAAAACAGAGGGGTAAGGGCTAAGTGGTAGGGGCAAGGGGTGAAATGGGAATTGGGCTTACATGTCAGTCACTGATATTGCCTGGCTGCATCAATGTAAAAAGCTCAACCACTGAACGAGATCCATGTGCCAGTGGCATGTGATTGATCTTCTTAAAGCCAAGCCATTATGCTCTACTTCCTTCATTCTGCACAGATCTAAAAAATAGCAAAAATGATCTACTGTAGAAGCTGATGCAGCTGTTGCAGGCATTATGCACTGCAGTGATGCTTTAAAGCAGTGGAATTCCATGAAGTTTCAGTACCTGGCAGTACCTCTACCTAAAAACGTTTGTATTGCCAAAGAACTGATTCTGAAAAAGCAGTACACTAGTTTGCCTCATTGCAGGGTAGTTCTACAGTTCAAGTCCTCTTAGCTGTCCTCTTAGCTTAAATCAATGCAATGAAATTGGAATAAAAGGAAGGTAAGGTCATGTACACATGAACTTTTTTTTTGTTAATGACCTGGAGTAAATGCTGAAATAGACCGAGTGGAATCCTTCAAAACATGGCATTTCATTTTCTCATTCGTTTTTACGTTACCTATGTGATTTTCCAGATTGATTTTCCATTGTATACTGCAGAAGGCAGAGCATTTCAGAGTGCCCTGGCCATTTTTCCCTACACCATGAAGAGGTATTTTACATCAAATGCAATCCAACTGCCTGGCTGAAATTGCTTTTCCTGTGAAGGTTTACTTGCAGAGTTAAGCTCATAAATTTAGCAGTGCTATGTGAAGTATGTTTCCCCAAACCAACATCATAAGCTGTTTGCTAGTTCTTCCAACAACCAGCGGATCAGCGTACACTTTCTGTTCCATTCCACACTGAAGCTCATAACACAGCAAGGCATTTCAACTAAACAGATTTTTCTGTCAAGGCGAGACCATAAAGCACTGGGGTCTTTGATGTCTCCATGCCAACGTTTCACACCTCTGAAACAAATTACTTCTCCGGCTGGACTCAAACGGGCAAATGAGATAAGACAAACACTGCACAGATGCACCACAGTTGGCCTCATCTCACAAAGTCAGTTGAGCAATATGTTAGTCAAAATAAATTTCACCTCATTTTTAGCACAAAAACCTGTTCACTTCTGTTCCATATGTACAAGTCCAGCATGATGAACTTTTTACCAAAGACAAACTGCCAAAAAACGTGCTGTGGCCACTGCTGGACAATGTCAAAGTTCACTAGCAGGGAACATGATAAACATCCATATGCTGGGTTCCCCTGGGAACGTCCTTGTGACTGCCAGCTGTAGCAATTCCTGAATGAACTTCGAATTTTGCAATAATTGTTGGTGGGTCTGAGTTCAGCTTGAGAAACAGAAGCTTCAGGGAAAACTGCAAGCTTCTTATAGTGTCCTTGACAACAAACATTTACCAACAGGCTTCAAGCTTCTCAGTATTCCAGTAAACTTCAGTTTTTCATGGAGCTGCCATTTCTCAAAAACATTCACACTGACCAGTTAGTTAAGCCACAGAACTACTTTTGTTTACTTTTCCAGCTCCACTGCTCTGACTGAGATTAAGGTACTCACGTTAACTTCAGGATGGGCTCCCACAAACAACCACAACCACGAACGTTCAAAACAACAAATCTCCGAATCTCCATCAACAGTTTCTAAAACCCTGAAAGAATGGGTTTTGGGAGCATGTTGTCCTGCAGAAACAGGGCTCCAAGTGCAAGAACCAGTCAACAACAGAAAGAATGTCATTTAAAAGTAATGAATGGTCTACTTTGGTGTTTGGTGACTGGGTGCAATCAGACTGAAACATCCACTATTAAAGATCATGATGGGAAAAACTGATAATATTGGGCATATGACAATATTTAGGGCTATTGTTATAAATTACATCACAGTAAGTCCCAATATGCTCTGAGCAGTGCACTTAAAGTGCACTGACCAACTGCACGTTTTATTACAAAAAGAGCATAATTAAGTTCTGATACACTGGATTCAGTGCATCACAGCATGTGAAAGGTTAAATGCAAAGAACTGTATTCATAATGTTTGATATTATTTTTAAATATGACACTACTGGTTCTTTTCTCTGTTCAAGCACATCAAACATCAGAAAAACTAAATATTGTTATATTTATCGTGAATGGTGAAAATATCTTTAAGTATCTTGATGTTGTATCTTTGCCATATTGCCCACCCCTAGAAAGACTAGTGGTTTTTTGGGAGTTTGTTTTAGAGAACAAGACATTTAAAAGCTGCAGAATAAAGTCTATGAGTTTTATTCTCAAAAAATTTATGAACACTTTTTTGAAACTGAAGACTTCTCTGTGGAATATTAACATAGGGCTAGTCTTAATCTGTGTCCGGAGCTGTGGCCACTGCAGGGTTCTCCTGATCTATATTTAAGATCTAATGTTCTTGGAACATCTAATGCTTGGAAAGGAAGTGCATAATGCACTTGTCACACATCTTTGTGATGACAGGGACTCAATATCCATCTCTCAGTTCAGTTCAGTGGCGCGCATTCATTAGAAAACTAACTGGAAAACAGAAAACACTGAAAGCAAAAGCCACATACTGAGACATTTACTCAGTACAGTAGGAAAAACATCAAACACTTTAGCTTTAAATCAGGACCGCTATGTTCTTCCACACTCATTAATGCCAGCCCCCTAGGGTTGTAAACGTTTGGAGAAATCTGTTTGGACCCTTAAATGACAAACAGGATTATCAAGTGAATCAAGAGCAAAGTGCGAACTTCACACACCAAACATGACAAAGGATTCATCCCAAACAGCCCAAAGTCATGATAAAGTACAGACATTCATACAAATATAATGAGATATAAAACAAAAAAATCCTATTTGTTGATAAAAAGCTGTTTGGCTTCACTCACTAGTTGTGAGTGGTTGTGTAGTTTAATACAAAATAAGCAAATCGGAACCTTTGCCAGGAATTTTGCTCCCCATGCTGTTTTTAAAGTATTATAGAAAATATTACAGAAGTGTATTTGGCTATAAATGTGACAAAACAAATATCTGACTACAAGATGGCAATAAAAACTGGGGTAATGATGATAATTATACTGTCCAAAAGTTTGTAGACACCTGTTCATCCAGCATTTCTTCTGAAGTCAAGGGTATTAATAGGGAGTTTGCCCCCCCCCCATGCTGCAGTAACAGCCTCTACTCTTCTGGGAAGGATTTATACTAGATGTTGGAACGTTGCTGTGAGGATTTGATTGCATTCTGCCACAAGAGCATTAGTAAAGTCAGGTGATGATATTGCACGATCAGCTCTGGATCACTCCAACTCATCCCAAAGGTACTCCATGCAGCTCCATCACTCCAGAGAACGCAGTTCCACTGCTCCACAGCCCAACACTGGAGGGCTTCATACCCCTCTTGCTGACGCTTGGCATTGGGAATGCTGACCCTGAATCTTTTGGCAGTGCTTTTCTAAGGTGTGCACAATTGTCCAGCAAAGAAGGCACCTTAAAGTGAACTAGAAAGTGTGCCTGGACACTTCTGGACATACAGCGTACTTTTTTGGGGGGACAAACGGTGGACTGTTCCTTTAACCTAGCAAAGTAGTTAAGTGCATGCACACAGCAGTGAGAGTAAAGCTGCACCGCATCACATCCCGCCTGATCTTTTGACTTCATGCTCTCTCAAAACCCATTACATAATGCGCTCGTTCCGTTGCGCAAAGGCGGTCCAGAGTCCGCGAGCGACTGTTCAAACCATAAAACACAAGCGAACTCGCTCTCACGTTTGCGGCGGTCAGGGGGCTCGAGGGGCGATGACACTAAAGCAGACACGACTGAGTTTACCAAACTGCAGCATGCGCGAGCGGGGGGCTTTCACCTACTTACCTGCGCCGAGCTGGGTGAGCGCGAGCAGGAGCAGCGCCGCCGTGACGCCGGGACACCTGAGCCCGCGCATGTCCGCCCCTACATCGGGCTTTTCCTTGGCGCGCGCACACACTCTGGTAGCTAGCACGCTGTTGCTCTGACAAAACAAGTCACATCGCCCGCTTCTCTCGTCTCTTCCTCGGCCACACTTCGCATTGCTGCACGCTAAATAACACGCTCGAGCGCTGGAGTGTCGGAGGCGGGGTAGGCTGGAGGGGGTGCTTAAGCTCCGCCCACAGGCTGTGTGTATAAGCGGATTAGAGACAACACAGCGGGATGACAAGTGGAAGCCGGACTAACACTATGGACCTGACGTGTGTCGGTCGGGGCTTGTAATTCATAAGAAAGACGGAGCTGAATGAGAATGATGATTCACAGGAATGATGGCTTTGAAAAGGCTGAGATGCACCTGCGCGCGTGGGACGCGCTTCTGGATCAGAGGGACAAAAACGTCAAAATTAAAAACGTAACCATCACTATATCTGGTATAAACAGCCCCACTGATTCATACAGCAGTAGTTCCTAAACTGAGATTTCGTGGGTTAAAGTCTAGGAACAGCCCTTTCTGATGATGCATCTTGAAGGTGGAAGTAAAATTTAACTGCTTTGAGACTCGAGGGTGGGCTTGCTTGCTTGCTCACTTATTTATTTATTTGGGTCATTCTACAGAAACGTTCATTTTTGTGTCCCTGGCGTTTACAGATATATTACACTTAAAAAAAACATGTTAGGGTTACAATTTATTTATATTTTAAAATAAAACAATAAGTTATTTTATCAATTACACCTTCTTCAGCCTCAATTTAGCAATATTGGTTTTTAAATCAATCAGCTAGAATTCCAAGCACCACAGAAGTGCTCGTCCCCACAGTCATGTGTAAAGGCTGAGGCCCTATTTTGAAGAAAAAAATGTTTTTCTGCAATTTTAACTGTAGTAATCTATACATTACTATGAATTATATAAATCAAATGACATAAAGAAAACACTGCCAAATGCCAAATAAATATAATAAAATATATAATGAAAGTTGTGTCACTGGTGTTACCGCGTAACAAAAACACTCTTATTTTGAAATAAAAATCACACTGATGACATCACTTGACTTCCTTTTAACTATTTTCTGAAGATCTATGAAGAAAAGCACATGGTAAGTCTACTGTGTCTTTTCAGTTATCAGAAATTTTCTCATTTAGCTCATGATTTCATATGAAGCTTTTAGTTGAAGTCACTGGTGTGACCTTCTATATTCTTAGTTAATTGTGAAAAAATAGAATACAAGTGGATTAAATTACATATTTTGGTGGATATTCCATGATTGACAACAGGTTTGATGATCTGTAGCAGCAATTTTGTAAAAGGTATTTTTTCTTAAAAATGTCTCTGGTGTTACCTTTCTTATGTTTAACACCAGTGAGGATTGGTCACACCAGTGACTCCTATGGATAGACAGAAAAGTGGACGTTTCTGTAGAATGACCCATTTATTTACTTACTTACTTACTTGCTTACTTACTCACGCACTCATTAGCTACCCAGATAGCAAGCATATATCAGTTCACTGGCTTAATAAAGTCAGTACCCCCACTCACTGTATGCCACTGCTGGTCCACCCTCAGACCACCCAGATTATTGTCCTGCACACAAGGTCTAACTGGTTTTTAATCTCCTCAAACAGATTATAAATGTATTTGTTACAAGTGAAGTTTGGGGGAGGAGCATGGCTGAAACCCCTCCCTCTTCCGGTCTAATACTCTATGAATTCATATCCTCACCTTCCGTTCCGTGTCAAAGTGTTCACAATCCCCACCGCCACCCCATCTCCTCCCTGGTCCTCAGTCCTACATCAGTCCTACTGCAGCTATGAGGGGGTCTGGCCTTCTAGCTACAGGCAGAAGCTGCCCAGAACTCCAGCCCAAGTTTTCAAAGTTCTCCCCCCTCCCTCAGTTTTCCCTCATACTACCACCACATGTTGAAGGCACAGTCTGAACTCACAAAATGCACACAGCCTTTTATTTTGGAAAATAAACCAAGACAAATATAACAAATAACTAAGAGAAAAAAGCTAATGAGTGGTGCACTATCGACATGCTGAGTGGCAAAATCTTCAAATGAATTTATTTCAAAAATAGAGATTCACAACCATTTGATGTTAGTGCTGTACCAATGGCGCTTAGCAAGCACCACATTTATTAGCATCTAGATCATTGGCAAGCATTTTGCTGAGCAATGTAAGCATTCCCAAGGGCTGCGTGATGTATTTGCATAATGCATGCTGGGTAGTGTGGTGAGAAAACACTGACAGACAAAAACACAAAAAAGATAAAAAAAAAAAAAAACATGAAATCTGTCTAGGCGATGAGGCTAAAGGGTGCAATGCTGTGCTACAGAATGCTACATAACTCAACAAATAACATTAAATGCTAGTCTTAGACCTTTACAGGTTTGTGCCAAGATTGAACAGCAGTGGTTCAGTGAGTTAGCATAAACCGTGAAGGGGATGTGTTGACTCACATGTACACACAGGTTTGTATTTCTTGTTTTGGGGGGCGTTTCCCCATCCTTCTGTATGACGGCAGCTAAATGATGCTGTATTACACCTCGCCCAACACTAATTTTAACCTCAGCAACCAAATGATCAGCTTTGGGATCTTGATCTTGTAATAAAATCTGCATTTAGAAGAAAAATATTAGAAAGAAAAATATTCCTGTTAAAATTTCAAATATTCAAATTTTCGTTCAAATGGTTTTGCTGATAATATAATTTGTAATGAAAAACTTTGCATTTTTTTACAGAAGAAAGCAAAATAGAACCATTTTCACAAATATACACACATATGTACATATACACTGACCAGCCACTTGATTAAGTACACATTGTTTCTATGTTCTTTGTCCATTTTATCAGGTCTGTTTAGCATATAGGTGCACTTTGTAGTTCTACAATTACAGATTGCAGTCCGTCTGTTTTCACCCTGTTCTTCAATGGTCAGGGCAGCCACAGGACCACCTCAGAGCAGGTGTTATTTGGGTGGTGGAGTTTTAAACATTGTGTCCACTCACTGTCCACCCTATTAGACACTCCTACCTTGTCAGTCCACCTTGTAGATGTAAAGTCAGAGACGATAGCTCATCTGCTGCTGCAGTTTGTGTTGGTCATCCTCTAATCCTTCATCAGTGGTCACAGGACCCTGCCCACAGGACCCTGCCCACAGGACGTTGTTGGCTGGATATTTTTGGTTGTTGGACTATTCGAAGTCCAGCAGTGACACTGAGGTGTTTAAAAACTCCAGCAGCACTGCTGTGTCTGATCCACTCGTACCAGCACAACACACACTAACACACCATCACCACGTTAGTGTTACTGCAGTGCTGAGAATGATCCACCACCCAAATAGTACCTGCTCTGTGAGGGTCCACTGGGGTCCTGACGACTTAAGAACAGGGTAAAAGGGGGCAAAGTATGCAGAGAAACAGATGGACTACAGTCTGTAACTGTAGAACTACAAAGTGCACCTATATAGTAAGTGGAGCTGATAAAATGGACAATGAGCGTAGAAACAAGGAGGTGGTCATAATGTTATGCCTGACTGATGTATTTTACAAACAATAGCCAATGGCCATACAATTTTAAAATGCTGATTAGATCATAAAAGTATGTTCAAAATAAAACACTTCATCAAAATATATTGAATGTGTCTTATTTTATTAGTTGCCTGGACTAATATTAAAAGTTAAGCATTTAAAGATGACATTTGTTGCCATATATTTATTTTAACTTTGTAAGCGAGAACTTTTGACATGAATACTACAACCAGCAAGCAAGTGGCACTCCAGGACCAGGAATGATTACTGTTATTCTCTAGATATCTGTAGGGTACCCACAAAGAAATAAACACGCATGCACACATACACTGAATCTGAATCAAATATAACCTACTCACATAAACACACAGGTTTGTGTTCATTGCTTTGTGCTTTATGAGGGATGCTGCTGTGATGTGCAACCCTACCCTTAACCTCAAAATCTTTCGGCTGCTGTTTTGGAAGCAAAAACAAAAACAAACAAATCAAACAAATATTTTCCTTCTTGGTATCAGCCAAATTCCCCCACAGCATCAAGATGTTCATGTTCAGAGACATTTGGTCCCCACAAAAGAGATAAATACACACATGAAGAGAGCCGAAAAGACGAGCTCTGTCATTTATCACAGTTTCAACCATAAATTAATACGTTTCAGTGTTTCGTTTGGCAGGCAAATGCGCCTCTGCCCAACTTCAGCTGATCGTGTGTGGCATCTATCTGTGCAGAAAGATTCAGGGCAAGGGTAGAGTGTGTCAAAGACCAGCAGCTAAACACTGCCAGAGCTACAGGAGAGGGAACTGTTAGAGATACTTCGGCCCCGCTTCCAAAACAACGACCACCCTCTTCCAGTCCAGACCCTTCAGCTTTGGATTTACTGTATGGTGACACATACCATAATACAGCTCGACTTAAAAATGTACATGAAGTAAAACAAACATGAACACAATCACTGCAAACTTTTTATATGAAACAAATGAGCACCATCAAGAAACTGAGAGAGATATTTTTTTATAAGCGCTGTGGGTAAAAATATCCTGTGCCATGTTCAAGAGTTGTTTTTCACTTGCAGTTCATTTATAGCAACGTTAAAGCACTTCCAGTTCCTAACTGTGTTTTTAACTTTCTCTGCTTTATACTCCCGTCAATTCTATTAAAATGGAAGGTTATTAGCTGAAGCTTAACCTAATGCTGGAGCAAGGCTCATTCTACTAGAATGCACTACCTGCAGATTTCGGGGGGGGTTTCTAGCCCTCCAGAGGACTTCCTCAATCATAGTGAGAGAGGCTCTTCTGCCTGATTCTTTCATTAGCCACTCAAATAGAGGCAAATCAGGGCTCCGGTAATTGTACATTACCACTAATGTTCTTAATCAGTGAGAAAATAACCATTATCTCAAAGCTGCATCTACGGATATTAACGGTGTTTTTGAAATATGAATACAGGCATAACAGCATGGGTTATCCAGAAGAAAATTTGTTTACCGGTTATACTGAACCTTGAAACTGTTGACTGCTACTGTGTTTCTCAGGACCTGCTATCAACACACAGGAAGGTAAGACGGTGATTCAACTGTATGAAACGCA